TATATATATATATATTATTTTGGAGCAATTCTATATGTCCCATGGGTTGAACCCCTACCTTCTTACAAAGGGTGGTGGGCTCCACTTGTGGGTCCTGCAGATAGGGTCCACTCTTTTTGAGAGAATGGAAATATATCCCCGTGGGCGTAGCTATATAACAGTTTTCATATTTTTGTCCTGATCATGTAAACATTACAGAGCCACACTTTTGGACGGGCCTCATTTTAATTTTATGTAACACGTTAAATATTTTTGGGGCCTCATTCTCTAGTTTGGATTTTCCAAAAGCGCTTGAAACTTGAAAAACCTCGTCTTCTTTACGAGGCAAGGTCATATCATGTATGTGTCCCACCAAGTCTATTAATTAATTAGACAATCTTCAATGTAAATATTAATACTAATTGTATATTTATCATTAAAAAATTTAATATGTTATGTTATTTTTATTTTTATTTCAACGCATAATATTATTTAAAATGTTAAATATACTTTTTTTTATAATTGTTAAGATTTGAAAGTTGTAAAAATAAACTTTTTTGTTTAAAATAATTAGAAAATACAAAAGTTATAATGATTACATGAAAAAGTAAACATTTCAACTAATAATAATAAATGTCAAATTTTTCATATGTTATATTTAGTAAGAAATTTACCACAAAGTATAGCATATGTGAAATTTAACATAACAAATAACATTGCATTGGAGAGTATTTTTTACATCAAATGCTATATTTATAATTGACACGTCAACTATAGCATTGGAGATGTTCTTATACTTTTATTTAGTTTATTTTTATTATGGGGTTTGAGTGATCCATTAGCCCCTTCTAAAAGTAAAGAAGCCAATGTTTTAACTTCTTGTGTGAATTCATATCACAAAAGATTATTCAACAGCATCTAATAATCGGAATGGTGGTACTTATATAACATATATATACATACATATATATATATATATATAAACAATTAGGGATATCAGGTCAATATGATAGGACAGAACCGAACAGCGACCATAAAATAATGCATATTATAACGTACAAAACAAAGGTAGTAAGTAGCTTCCTTACTAGAAGTCAAGTACGTTCTAGACCATCTAGAAATAAAAAATTCCAAGTATTGCCGCGTTAGTCTTGAGCATCTGTAGAAACTTTGCTCTCACACTGATCAATTTTCCACGAAGTTCATTAATTTCCCAACTCACTCCCCTTTTTTGTCCATACAAATTCACCCAAGTTTTTCCAAATTTCATGGACTATATATATACATACAACTTTTCCATCATCACCACAACCAACAATACCCCAAGTATTCACTTTACAGAGCAAAAAAAACTCATTTTTAAAAAAAAAAATGGCCGAGAGGTACCAACAAGTTTATCCCTTAGCCCCGGCGAACGGGCACCCGAGAAGCGACGAAGAATCATCCAATTTGGACGCCAAGGAGCTCAAGCGCAGGAAGAGGATCAAATTGGCAATCTATGCTTTCATTTTCACCGCGTCCCAGATCATCGTTACCCTGGTGTTCGTACTAGTTGTGATGCGCGTCAAGTCTCCTAAGCTAAGGCTTAGCGACAAGTTCGAATTCCAGACAATCGAAACAAATAGCGGATCAAAACCTTCCTTTGACATAAGCTTCACAACCCAATTGAGGGTCAAGAACACCAACTGGGGACCCTACAAGTTCGACAACACCACCGCCGCTTTCGCCTACGAAGGCGAGACCGTTGGGCAGGTTGTCATTCCCAAGGGCAAGGCCGGTATGAGGTCGACCAAGAAGGTGCCTGTGAGTGTGAGTTTGAGTTCGAGTCAGCTGAAAAACAATACCAATCTTGGCAGTGAACTGAGTGGTGGAATATTGACGCTGAGATGTACGGCCAAGATGACTGGGAAAGTAAAACTCATGTTGATCATGAAGAAGAAGAAGTCTGCGAATATGAACTGCACGATTAATATTCATGTGAAAGAGAAGACAGTCAACTTGAAATGCTAGCGTGAGAAATGGTTGTTGTTATATTATAATTATTGTTTTAGACTTGTGAGCTTTGGTTGTTGTTATAATTATTTGTTTTTTCTTGTTCTTTTTACGTAGATGTACGTATAAGTATTAGTGTCTCAAATTATATGAACTGATAGCATATTTGACGTTTAATTCTTGCCTTCTTAATTAATGGGTGTGTTTAGAACTCATTTTAAAATAATTTTTTATTTTTTGTATGAAAATAGAAATGAAAATATTTTCAATCTCAGATATAAATTATTTTTAAAAATGCGATTGGTAGTTTTATCAAGAGATTATTTTCAGTATACAACAATTCATCAATGTCTCTCTCTCTTTGTGCTCGAGAGAGGAGAAAACGGAAACAAAAAATAAAAAACGACTAAAAGTCATTTTTCATTTCTCTTTTATTTTACACTAAATTAAAAAATCGTTTTCACTTTTTTTTTATCTTTAATTGTGTCAAACGTCGTTTCTCTCCTGTTTTTATTTTCTTTTTCTCAAAAAACGTAAAAAATAAAAATAAAATCAACTCTAAACACGGTCAATGTTTTTCCTTATTATAACATTTTTGCTGTTTCTCGTCTCCTTAAAACGTTTGTGCCTTTAAAATGTAAAATATCTTATATAGTACACGTGTATATATATATGTGTGTGTGTGTCTTTTTTCTTTTTGTGTGTGTCTAACGTCTATCACGGAGAGACGACCCTTCCCAACGGTGACGCCAATTGAATTACATTTCACGCAAATGCGCGACATTTTGAATTCAGCTTCTATGAACAAGAAAACAACACAACTAGTAGAGGCCTTTGTAAAAATAATCTAATAGAAAAGCTTTATTCATAACATGACAATTTAAAAATTTTTATTTGCAAAATGACTTTTTGAGAAGAAAGAAAAACGAAAAAAAAATCGGAACTTCACCCCACCCCACGGATCCACTGCTCAACTCGATCCGAACCGCCACGTTCTCGACCTTCTCGAGCCTCGACGTCGCGATCATGAACGGCGCGATCAACAGCACGTTCAGAGCCCTGCTCTCCGCCCTCTGAATGTTCACCATGCTCGTCTCCATCAAGTTTTTGAACCCGAACCTCGCCGGCGTCGTCCCCAGGGCCATTCTCGGCGTGATTCTCAAGGTGGGTCTCGGCCTTTTGGGGATTTAGATGTGACAGAGGTGTTGAAGAGCATTGTGGGGTGTCGAGAGGGTAAGTGAGGACATCTGGTGAAATGGGTTTTGGAGTTTTGTTGTTGGTGATGTCTCCCTCTCTCTCCAATGGGGTTGTGACAGGTGAGGAAGAGATGTTGACAACTGCCATTGTTGGGTTGCTGTGAAAGAGTTTTTTGAACACGCAGAGAAGACCTGAGAGGATTTTTTTAATGCGGAATCTTGAATTGTTTGGGCAATTAAAATTAAAAAGTCATTTTCTTAATTTTACTTTTTTACTCAGTTATTTTAGCCAAATTCTCCAACTAGTACGTACATTTATCTGATGAGGCAAATTTAAAGTCAAGAGAAGGGGATTCGTCAATTTATCTAATTTAACTGACTCTTATTTCATAGATATTATAATTCAATATTAAAATCATTACCTTAATATATGCATGGTGGTTTTAGAAATCATTCTTTGTTTGGTTTATCATGTGGGAACCCTGCATTTAAGCATAATATCAAAAGGTGCATATGTCGTTGCTCCGATAATATTTAAATCATACCTATCATCATTTGATGGCATTTCTAAATCGATAAGCGACCTTTTCAAGATGGGAATTTTTACTTTTTTATTTGCATTTCATTACTAATTAAAATAGGAGCATTTAACTTGTCTGTTCACATTTTTGTCCTAACAAAAAAAAGAAATGAAAATTTCTCCGTCTATCAAAACCTTGTGGTTTTCTATCCCAAAAGGTCAATTTGCAAATCTGACTTGTATATGAACATCTTTTTCATCTCAAACGTCCCTCCGTCTGCGAGACATTAAAAAGAAAAAAAAAAAAAAAAGTGGCACATTACAATAATTTTTCAAATTGGGGTAAATTATCAAAATGAATAGTTTATGAGGCAAGTTATCAAAACTCTACCAATTAGAGTAAATGTGCAAAATACTTAACATAATATCATTCAAACAACAAAATACTCCGGCTAAAATAAACAATACAAAAATGGTTTTGAAGAACTTGTTTTTTAAATTCCTTCGCAGTATCTCAACTCGTTATGTATCCTTAAAAAAAAAAATTCCTCTCAATCAGTTGCCTATGTAAAGTAATGAAGGGTCGGGCTAACCTGCGCCGACTGGCCTAGGCTTGGTTCGAAATTTTTTTAAGGCATTTTCAAAAAAAAAAAAAAAAAAAAGAGGATGTTGCAGCAAATCCGGTCTGGTTGAATTAATAAGCTTGCGGAGTTAACATCTTTTTCATCTGAAACGTCCCTCTGTCTACGAGACAAAAAAAATAAAAAAAGTGGCACGTTACAATAATTTTTCAAATTGGGGTAAATTATTAAAATGAATAGTTTATGAGGCAAGTTGTCAAAACTCTACTAATTAGAGTAAATGTGCAAAGTACTTAACATAATATCATTCAAACAACAAAATACTCAGCTAAAATAAACAATACAAAAATGGTTTTGAAGAACTTGTTTTTTAAATTCCTTCACAGTATCTCAACTCGTTATGTATCCTTAAAAAAAACAAAAATTCCACTCAGTCAGTTGCCTATGTAAAGAAATGAAGGGTCGGGCCAACCCGCACCCGACTGCCCTAGGCTTGGTTCAAAATTTTTTTAAGCTATTTTAAAAAAAAAAAAATTAAAGAGGACGTTGCAACAAATCCGGTCTGGTTGAATTAATCTTTCGGAGTCAAAATCTCAGCTTGACCCAGAAGTAAGAGTCAGGTCCATACAGTTGGAAAAATTAATGGTATCGAGTGCGCAGCAGAATTTAAAAATTTTAATCAACGTCAAAGCCAAACAAGAACATGTTCATGATGCTATATAACATAAATACTAAAGATCTAAAACATACCTTTTTGAGATTTGAGGAAACTGCACGTCTGACAGATCTAAACGTTCCAAACAGCAACCGGAAGAGCCTCAACCAACTGGTCTTCTTTGCTATTCTCGTTTCCACAATCGGTGTGCATGTGGGCACACGTCGTTTAATCTCCTCTAGGTATTCTTGATCTCCTTCCAATCACAAGAGAGCCAAAGAAAAATTGTTCTTGAGAATTAAACAATTTTTCCTCTCAGGAATCTTTTATCAATAGCCTCCAAAAAGTCTCTCAAGTGATCTAATGAGTAATGTGACTTAATAGGCTATTTATAGTGTTTTAAAAGTCATACTTCCGTAACAATTAGGTTTCCCAAAATTCTAATCGCATCCAGAGTCGATTTTTCCATGTCAGCATGCATTTTACGTTACAACCGGTCGACTGGTGACAGAGACATTATAACTCACCGGTCGACCTGTCTTCACTAACCGGTCGACCTGTGACCGGTCTACCCAACCGGTCGACCTGTCTGCACTGACGAAAGTTGTTTTTC